GTATATATACAGTATATATATATGTATATATATATACAGTATAATTTCCTGATTAGTGCTTTACAGCTTTTGCTCATTTTAAAATTTATTAGTGGATTAGCACTTGCTAAATTTATAGGCTAATTTAGAAGCATTGGTATTAAAAAAGAAGATTTTTTTTAAGTCATTAAATTCAACAGGTTCTTTGAGTTGATTTGAGTCTAGTATGTTTTCTCAAATTGGTGAAAGTTTGGGAATTTGCAAAACTGTGGCTCTAAGAAATAGTTTATGTAACAAAAATCTGCTGTATTTAATAGGATCTCTGGAAAGATCAGATCCACTGATCTACAGCATAAAACTGGCAAAACCATTCAGCTTTGGAAATATTTGTGGTCAGAAACACATAATTACATGAGAGGGGTTTTTCCCACCAAGCAAACCCAGAAAGATGTTAATTCAGTGTTGAATTATGGTCAAAAACGTTGATWTTTGGTTGAAAAGATGTTATTGAATCAATGTTTTTTCATGGTCAAATGCTAATTATTGAAATGCCAACGTCTAATCAATGTTGAATCCACACTCATATAGTATCAGTTATGGTTGAAAACGTAATATTATTTCAATAAGTAAGTCACTGACCGCTTTTTGTATCATTTCAACATGGATTCAATATCATGCCTAACCATATTTCAATGTTGATTCTCTTATAATTTGCTATCTGAGAAAGACAAACATCACAACTAAATAGGAATGAAAGCTGAAAATCTTTTGACCCACACAATAAATCTCCTCATCTCCATGCATTTTAGTTAGAACATCTACCTAAAACGGACATATYCTAAATCTGTAAAGAGAGATTTGATGGTTAACGAAGATGAACCATTGATGGTGCAGTAGAGGAGAGTGCTACCTGCTCAGGATGCTGCCAGCCTCTTATCTCAGCCACTGTGTTATAAGAGTCAGCATCCGGCAAAGTCTTGGCTCCCATGCTGAGTCTGACCACAATCCTCTGCCTCCGTTGGGCCATGCGCCACATCAKCTCAGCGTCTTCTATGGTGATACAGGCGGTCGGGATGCACTTCACTCCATCTTGGTACACCTGCATACCTGTGTGGGGGCTACATATAGCGAGGCAAAGTGGGTTCTTTGTTTTTATTGAACTGAGATTTTAAAAAATTGGGTCAAGTCCAACTGGTGAGGAAGAGGAGACAAATAGATGTAAACCTGTTAATAGAGAATGGAGTGACAGATCGAACGAGTGTGGCCACAGCTCCCAATTTGGCTGCCTCTGAAGCAGCAAAATCACGGTAAGCCACAGTCTCCCCATAGCTGACGAAAGGCTGGTTGAAAACCACAATCCTCCCTGCGGCCTCGCTGCCTCTCCGCTTCAGTTCATCAAGAGACTGAACCACCAGAACCTCTGCCTCGATACCTGAGGAGATCAAAGGGAATCAATGAGCAGTAAAAGGGAACAGGATGTCAGGTTTAAGATCAGTTTAGGTGTTTTTGTTATTGTTTTACCCTCAGAAGGTGTTCTTACACTGCTGCCCAGTCCCAGTATAGCCAGGCTTTTGTTCCAGGGCATTATCATCTCTGCACTCTCCTTCCCTCTTACCCAGTGTGGGATTTTTACTGGTTCTGAACAGGAAACCACACGAGAGAATAGAAAAAAAAACATCGAGAATCAAGTTCAAACAAACCAACGTTTTCTTTTAATTAACAAACTTAAACCTTTAAATACACTCACCCAGATGTACATCCAGGCCATCCTGTCTCATTGCATTGAACATGTATTTTATAGCCATATCCAGGTTCTTGGAGCCACTGACCCGGTTCCCTATGGTGTCTGTGAAGTCAGCCAGCCGACTGTAAGAGCGGTTCTGGGCAGCTCCAAACACAGCCAGCTCAATGATACGTTTGGCCACATCTGTATATCCTGCTACCTCCACTGCTACGTCTGAAGCTAGAATAAAAAAAAAACAGAGTCAGGATTTTTCCCCAAGTTCCACATATTCTTACAATAACAGTCTGCAGATGACACAATGATGATCCTTGCTCATTTAGACTGACTTATTGATTTAGTATGGCAATGTTTATCTGCTAATGAATAGAAAACAAATTTATTCTGACTGATTCCAAATAAAATACATTCTGATGATTTATAAAATTATTGAGATCTTGGAGATTGTTGTTATATCTGTGATCTGTTTTATTGTTTTTAATTATTTTTTGCTTTCTGTGAAGCACTTTGTGATGTTTGTGTCTGTGAAAGGTGCTATAGAAATAAAGTTTAGTAAAGTTGGAGAGGTAGCTCGTTCCAAAGTTTAGGAGCTGCTGCAGCAAAAGATCGATCCCCCTTGAGTTTGAGTCTGATTTTAGGGACCCTCAGGAGCAGTCGATCAGCTGATCTGAGGGAGCAGGAGGGATTATAGGGGTGCAGCAGATAGACAAGTATAGTGGGGCAAGGCCATTCAAATATTTAAAAACAAAAGTATTTTAAAATGAATGCTAATAGGGACAGGCAGCCAGTGGAGTGAAGCTAAAATGGGAGAAATGTGGTCATATTTACGTGTGCCAGTTAAAAGCCTCGCTGCAGCATGTTGGACCCTCTGCAGTCAGGCAATGGAGGACCCACTAAACCCCAGATAAAGTGCATTACAGTAATCCAGCCGGSTGGTGATAAAGGCATGGATCACTGTCTCAAAATGTCTTCTTGGAATGATGGGTTYTATTTTGGCTAGCYGCCTCAAAYGATAAAAACTACTTCTAACAATTGACCTAATGTGGCTGTCTAATTTAAGTTCAGGATCTATTTCTACTCCCAAATTCCTCACTAACAATTTGTTGCATTGAGTCAAGGAACTTAGATCTACAGGGGAGTGGCCAAAAGTACCTCCAAAAACCGTAACATCAATAATTGGTTTCATTAAAACTCAAAAAAATGTTGTGCAATTCAGGCCTTCAGGTCCTCAAGACACATAATAAGTGAGTCTATTGCATACGAACTTGACTTTTTGAGGGGACACAGATCTGGCTGTCATCTGTGTAACAATGAAACCGTGCTTTCTGAGAATAGAACCGAGTGGGAGGAGATACAGAAAAAACAAAAGCGGGCCTAAAATTGAGCCTTGAGGGACTCCACATAAAAGAGGAGAAGAGGAGGACACTGACCCCTCAAGACTAACACAGAAAGTTCGGTTGAACAGGTAGGACCTGAACCAATTCAAGGCAACACCCTTGATTCCCACCCACTGGTCCAGCCGAGATAACATAATGTCATGGTCCACAGTGTCGAAAGTAGCTGTTAGGTCTAAAAGCWCAAGGATGACACAATCACCCGAGACAGTAGCTAAAAAAAAAAAAATCATCAAAAACTTTTAAAAGAGCTGATTCAGTGCTGTGGAGAGTTTTAAAACCAGATTGGAAAACCTCGAGAATACTATGCTCTTCAACTTTGTATTAGGGCTAGGGGTGTAAGAAAAATATCGATACACTGAAATATTGCGCATATATATATATATATATATATATAT